GGGGAGCGTGGTGGAGGGGAACATGATGATGCAGACGGGGGCAGCGGCGGAGGACAAGGCGCTGCATCTGAGGCCGGACATTGAGAATCTGGTGAGCCAGGTTGGGCTGGTGAGTGTTCAGGGGACGAGCTCGCCGGGCTTTGTGGGGGGCAGCTCTGGAATCTCGTAGGTGACCTTGATTGAAGATATCCCGAAGAAGATATCACTGCTTCTTCTTCTTCTTCTTCTTCTTCTTCTTCTTCTTCTTCTTCTTCCCACTCGCTCTATTCAAAAACCCTTCGTTCGATCACTGACTGACTGACTGACTGACTGACTGACGGTCAATCACAGCTTTGCCCGCCTTATGTTTGCCGCCGTCAAGATGAACAACCGCGGAGAAAACAACCCGCCGCCGCAGCCGTCAAACAGCGCAACATCGTCCATCAAGTCCGCACCTTCAACGTCACCCAATGCCACCACCGAGAGCACAACCACCGCCGCCGACTCCGCAACCCCGAACCCCCGCCAGCGTGTCGCTCCAGAGCCTTTCCCGCCCCGCCAGATCGGAGAGCAGTATATCGACATCTACTTCAATCTAGCGAACCCGCAAACTCCGATTCTGCACCGGCCGAGCTTTACACTCATTTTCCAGCGTGCCTACGCATACATTGAGCAGCACGGCGGCGGCAGCGCTGGTCTGGATCTCCACCATCATAGTGATCCCGTGGAGAGGGAGAATCAGCACCATGCGGACCTCTATTCCTTGTTCATGGTCTATGCTATTGCGGCTGCAATGAACAGCAAGAACGACAACCTCCCGGAGCGGTATCACGCCTCAGCGATGGTGCATCTGGACGCGCTCTTCAACTCAATCTCGTACACTAACAACCGCCTCGACGGGCTCAAAGGAATCCTCCTGCTGGCGCTGTACTCTATCATGCGGCCGGCTGCGCCCGGGGTCTGGTATGTGCTTGGCGCCGCCCTGCGACTCGCCATTGATCTCGGCCTGCACCAGGAGAACACGCCGCGCGCAGAGAGAACCTTGGACCCGCTCACGATCGACGAACGCCGGCGTCTCTGGTGGTCAACATATGCGCTTGACCGCCAGCTGGGGCTGTATCTGGGACGGCCGTTTGGTGTGGCTGATGATGCGATCCGGACTCCGCTGCCGGCGGAGGAGCTGGTGGGTTGGACAGATCAGGGTGAGGGAGTCCCGGCAAGGGTCAATGGCAAGCGGAGCTGCAGGACGATCTTCATTCATGTCTTCAGGATCCGGCAGATCCAGTCGGAGATACAGCAGGTGCTGTATCAGAGTAGCTCCTCGCTGCCACGGCGGTTTGCAAATGTCGACGAGTGGCGCAAGGACGTCGAGGAGCGGCTGCGGCAGTGGTGCGCGACGGTGCCAAAGACGAAAGAGGACACAAACTGCCGGTACAATCTCGGTTTCATAGAGCTGAACTATGAGCAGACCCGGCTTCTCCTGTATGGGCTATGCCCGACGGTCCCGCACCCAAGTGTCTCCGCCTTCGAGACCATCTTCGAGAGCGGTGAGAAGATCATCCGGCTGTATAGCCGCCTCCAGGGCGAGAACTGCATCAACTACACCTGGCTGGCCTGCCACAACCTCTTCATGGCGGGCACATCATATCTCTGCGCCATCTGGCACTGCACCGAAGTCCGCCGCCAGACAACAATCGATCAGATCGAGCACCACGCACAGGCTACTGTCAATATCCTATCATCAATGATCAACCAGTGCTCCGCCGCCCAGGGCTGCCGCGACGTCTTCGAGTCCCTCGCAAAAGCCACAATCGACCTCTGCAGAACCGAGCTCGCGCGCGAGCGTGAGTCCAGTAAGAGGGTCAAGACCGAGGCAAGTAGCTGGGCGCCATCATACGCCCCGCCACAGAGCCTGCCGGCGAGCCTGGCAAATATCGTGCATGCACACGAGACGTACCCGATACCGCAGCAGCAGCATATGCCGCCGCTGCTGCAGGGGTACGAGATGATGCCACCGCCAGCACCGCTGCAGGGGGACCAGCAGCAGCAGCAACAAGGAATGTTTATGCCCCAAGAGATGGTCGCCGAGTGCATGAATATGGATGGGCTGCGGGTGTTTGAGATGATGCAGCAGATTGGGGGCAGCGGCGAGTGGGATGGGGGTGCGTGGGCGGGGGGCGGGTATGGGGGGAGTGTTGGGGACGCGGGGCTGTTTGTGAGTGGGTGGTCGTGGTTATGATGTCGTTAGCCATGGATGGGGGTGTTTGGGGTTAAATGTGGGTGTTGGTTGTGTTCTTTGCAATTGGTTCGGGTTTGCGTTTTTTTTTTTTGTCTCCTTTTCTCCTTGCTTGTTTCCTTTTGTGCGTATGTGGTTTGGCTCTCTGTGTATTTTATCTAGCAGCGTGCGTGTGTGAATTTTCCTTTATTTTTGAGACAGATAGTGAGGAGCGGAAGGAGTGTAGCTAGCTGCGATGTTATAGATAATCTGTGTTGGGGGGGACGTACTACGTATACATGTAATGTGTAGGGCAGCAGAGGCAGTAGTAGCATGGAAAGCAATACCAATACATATACGTATATATATCACTATTCTTAATCAGCTCGTGGATGTGGTTGTTGTAATTGTCTCCGTGTTATGATAGCTGGAAGGGGGAGTGGAGGGCCAGGTGGAAGGGGAGGCGGGGAGGGTGCTTCCCTCCATGTGACTCTCATGTTGCTGGATGGTGTATTGGCGCTGAGTGTGGGTGTGGGTGGTAGTGGGTAGTGCTGTAACTATCATTAGGCAAAGCTGGAGTACCGCTCTTCCACTCGAGCTGAAGCTTCTCGGGGAGCGGGTATGTTGAAGATTATTAATTCCTGCAGAGAGGTTAGTTATTGGCTCATCCTTTCTACTCTCACAGGGTAGGTCGGGGAGTGGGAGCTTACATCCATATAGGTCTGTTGCTCGAAAAGCCCATAAGCTATCTATATGCACACACCGAGAGGCCATTCCAGAGAGGCCGGACGTTTACAGCCACCACCACATAACATTGTGATCTATCATACTCTCCCGCCCGGCTAGTCTGTAGGGATCTTAAGGGTTATTCTGGAGAGAGGTTAGCTATTGGCTCATAACTCCTGATATTAGAGGACAGCTGGAGCAGAGGGAGTAGAGGGAGCAATAGGGGATTATCGGATCTTTGCCGCTCGGATCGTACGGAAGATACTCATATACCTTGACGGTTAATTTTTCAGAGAGCTTAGCCGCCGTCATTTTATTCCTACAATCAAATCTACAGAACTAGAGCTAGAAGACATATAGATGCATGCCGACTTTTAAATTAAGGCTCATTCTCGACTAGTAGTTATCTTGTTTAAAGCTATCAATAGATCTTTTGTAAGGTAGAGGCGTTAAACACTAGGTTGTATATGCATGTGTCACATCTTCCGCGGACGGAGGAGGAGTAATGGGGTGTGCTTTTCTTTTTTTGCTGGGATGGAGGGCTTACTCTATGGCCATGGGCATGGACTTACTCGCTTTCCCTGCATAGAAGGTTCGAGGAGTTAGCCACTTATTTGAGATGTATCACATCTTTCAGCAGTCGATAAAGTGAGAGGATGGAGGGATGGGCTGTACTATTTCTTGGCTCGTTCTGAAGCTCCTCACTCACTGATGACGATGAGGTGGTGAAGGTTTTGGCGGATGAGTAGTCTGTCTGTGGTCCTGTGATGGAGGGATGGAGAAAGGGATGCCCTTCTGTCTCCTCTCACCGGTAGGATTGACTATGTGTTATGATGAATGCGTGGTAGAGATGAGTGGAAGGAATTTGTGGTAGTACTAGTGATGAACGTTGTGGTGCGGTGTCCTAATGGGCAGCTGCCACTACCCACCTCGCGGGGCTACCACCTTTGTGGCACCTGACTCAATAACGACCTGCTATGACCACAGTTCCATCTACATCTGTGTGCATGTATATTCCCGCTGACTGCACTGGGGGAAGTCATGTATTCGTGTATGTAGTGGTAGGAATGCTTATCTTGCTGGGGGCTTTGGAAAAGTCGAGCCGGGGTGAGTAGTGTGGGCCAGAAACCGGTGGTACCTGGGGGGATTGATTGATTTACCATGGGTACCATGTGGTGGCTCCGTTTTCCCATGTTTTAAGGGACCACAAGTGATAATAATGAGTAGATTTTTAGACCTCGGAATAATGATCTTATTCACGGTCTTTATGCATTTATTGGTCTATTCATCCCATTTTGAAGGTTTCCCGCGACATCGATTCAATGACCCCCTCACACCCATCACATCTTCACCTTCATCTTCTTAAAAAAAACATACATCTCTCACGTCCTACATGCATAGATATAGCCGGACACACCCCTCCTCAAGCCGTAACCACCCGAGACAGTCCCACACGCACCTAAAACTGGAAATGATCTCTGCCACATCTGCCTGCAACTCTGCATCTGGCATCAATAGCGAAACGCTCCACACGTCGAGCACATACAAACGCGGTGTTATAGCACTTTTAGATATATAGACCGCAAAGTATAAGGCTTACTATTACAAATCTCGAAGATGGGTCGGTAGGGTTAGGGCTTTGTAGACGGGTTGGCTGGTGATGGTGTATGAAGTAGCTGAAGTCGAGCTGGCTGTACCCGGGGCGTCAGGCGGAATAGGGGAATGGGAATCTTAATGGATGAAGGAAGTTGTATGTGAGTGATTGGTGGTAATGTGTCGAGTGATATTGTGTGATCAGATATATATCATTCCATGTATTTCATGTAGGATATACATGCACATGTACATACATGTAGTCACAAAGCCGTTAGAACTTCCTTTGGCTTCTCCGGCGTGTTCTTGTATTCGATGCTGCACACGCTGTGTTTAGGCTTGGTGGCCCATAAGGAAAGCACCTTCGTCACAAGTAACGGGATGCCACAGTTGCCAAACTGAGCGTTTGGTTGATACCGTGTGATCTTGGCCTACCACAACCACTGAACGTTACTCTCCAACCAAATACAACATCATCCCAGACTCAATGCTCGCAGGAGGTAAGTTAACCCACAGCTCCTACGTGACTTTGGCGACATAAACGTAGCTACGGGAGGGCCAACAACCTTCGGACAGGATTCTACACAATTAAACCGAAGCATTCTCAAGTACGCTCTTGGTCCGTTTATCTCTGGAATTCAAGCCTTTAGCATCCCCATGGCCATCAGCATTGGAATACATCTCCACAAGGGCGAAGCACTCGATACGCTCAGCGAGCCAACAGGGCGATGGGTCCGTACAGAAGTGTGGTCCTAGATAACACTGAAGCTGCAGCTGGCGAGGTGGTGCGTTTGGGGTGGTGGGGAAGAGTTGAGGTTCCTTCATGAGTCTGGCTAGCCGTAACTAACAGGGTTAGGGTTGTTGTCAAGAAGACCGAGCTGGGGAACTTCTTCCTTCGTCACCATCGACATCGACATCAACATCAACATCAACATCAAGGCACAACTGCCATCTCGAGATCGCTCAGTGTTGCAAACTCTATCACGTAAGTTGTTCTTTCTCCCAGATTCTAATTGGGATATAGACTTCCAACACAACCGAGATCAGCGTTTGCCAGCAGGAGATGCAGAACAATATTGAGAGTTCAAGATCAAGAAGCTTTTGATGATCAATAAATGCAGAATTACAACGAAGCATAACCCAAATACAACACGCACATAGGAGACTTTTACTATCATACAGTGGTAGCCAGAAGAAACTGCGAAAGGGAAGAAGCGAAAACGACACAAAACTCAGGACTCCAGCCAGTCACAATATCTCTCCAGTACTTCAACAGCCGTCCCTGGCATCGGCCAGACTCCCCAAAACATCAACCACAAACTCGCCCCCCCTGCGGATAAACTCATTAAACTCCTTCCTCCTGCTCAACTCTGCGATCCTGCACACGACCTTCCCCACTACAAACGTCCTCAATACCGTCTCCTCCTTCTCTCCACCAAAGACAGCCCCCACCATCTCCTCCACAAGCCTCGTCAACTTCTCTCCCGCCGCCCCCTCAAACAACACCGCCAACTTGTCCAGCGCAAGCTTTGCCAACCCCGGAATCCCGACACCGGGCGCCTCGGCAAATCTCCACACTGCAATATGCGCCCTCAAGCACGCCACATCATATGGCACCACCTCCACCGGCGTCTTCTGCTCCTCAAGCTTCTTCGCCGCTCCCTTCAGCGACAGCACTGGTTCATAGGCCTGGAACACTGGTGACGCCGGTGGCGACGGCAGCAGTGCATGCGCCGCCTCCTTCTTGTCGTCGAAGCCCTCGCCGCTCGTCACAAGTTGCACCTTCTTCCTTTTATCCTCGGCCGGGAAGTATATCGACGTGTAAGTGCTCGTGTTCTCGGCGACGTCAAAGCGCGGCGCCGCTTTCCCCCATATACCTATCGACCCTGCCATCGCGGCAGCAAGCAGTGGCGAGTTCTGTGGGAGGTGCGCGGCGGGTCGCGATGTCTCAAGGAGCGTCGCTGTGTCTTCTTCCTCCTCCTGGGCGGCATCCTGAGCGGGTAAGGCGTAGTCGCCGGTGTAGAGGTACTCGAGGGCCTGCTCGACGGTGGGGACGGAGACGGTTGACTGGTCGAGAAGAATGTAGGCGCTGCGGGTGCGCTGGGACTTTAGGAGGGCGGTTTGCGAGGCGAGAAGGGAGCGGTGGATGGTGTAGGTTTTGTCCTCGGTGGTGGTGGGGAGGATGAGGCGGATTGTGGGGGAGGAGAGGAAGCTGTGAATGTGTCAGTGGTGACGTTAGGAATGGTCAGAGAGACAAAGGATCATACCTGGCAAATGAAGCGGCGGCCATTTTTGCGGTGGGATTGGAGTCTATTCTCTATTCCGGATAACGCAATTAACTCAATTGACAGGATGCAGTGCTAACGATGTCGCAGCTCTAAACACTCAAAAATCTCGTTGTATGGGTCTGAATATCCTCAGCTCATCCCCGCATCTCGTGAAAAGCGTACAAGAGCGCGGCAAACCCTTCCTTTATCAAGGACCCCCCATTCCACCAGTCCCTACCACACATCTCCATGGTTCCTTTTTTCCCCCTTCACCCCTCCCCACCCCCCACTGCGTCAAATAAAGTGCAGCCACGATCACGTCAATTCACGTGCCCCCCGCAAAAAAAACACCGCGGCGCGTACCGTACCGTGTAACAAAAAGCAATATGGGGGAGGGCAAAATTTTTCACTCTGAATCTCCGGGCTTTGTCATGAGCTTATTAGACCACTTATTCTGCTCTGATTTGGTGATGATGGGCGCGGAATGGTCTAAATGTGCCGTGCCTACACCCATGGGGCGGTGGTACAATTCCAATTGGGCATTGAGCATTTTGCCAGATCGAACACTTCGCTACTCTACATGCGAATCTCCCGGTGGATGGTGACGAGAACCGAAAACGAAGTATGCCAGATCGCAATTAGGTGTCCTTACTCTCCAACAGCACTAAAATTGGAAGCCAATGATCATTCTGCTGATTTCTCTAAAGTCCCTGGATCGATGGATTTGAAAGAAGGCCACGATGTAATTACAGGAGCATATGGTGTGATTACCGTCCCGCAAAGAGCGGGCGTAATTAAGCGCCTGAGGCTCTTATTTACAATTGGGCTGGGCTGTCTTGCGCGCCTTGGGTTACCATACGGTCCATACCATACCATTCCTTCAGCTCGAGAAAATCTAACATCCTTAGACAGAGAGTGAGGTGAGATGACAATCAATTGATAGAAACGAAATTAGAAAAAAGAACAAACAACCCGCAATAGAACACTGCTCCGGTCAAAGACGATCCTTTCAACTCGGTGAACCATACCCCGCTCCCACTACCTACCCCACTTTTCCGCCCGGGTAGACTGAGACTGTGAGGCTTGACTGTGGCGTCTATGCATGTAGGCTGGTGCATCCATACCGTGAAACATTTTGAGTAAGAAACAGTTCCCAAAAATCAGTGATGCAGTAGAAATGAGAGCTCAGTCCAGTGGAAATGATAACCTAGCATGATGTTCCTCTCGAGTAGCTATCACCTAGCACGGCGTAGCGATTTATAATAGTGCCCGTGCAACCCTAACCCTCGCCGTCACTTATGCCAAGACTCATTTCGCTTACTCGTGATAGTACCCCTAACCCTGTTTCTACAATAAACCCTAGCCCTGTTTCTTAGCCGGGTCTTTTAGCATATTGAACAAAGAAACCCCCACGCAAGCTATCGAGCGCACAAACCCCAAAGTTCTTAAAGCCACTATGTTCCCGGATCTCATTGCTTTATGCGAATTGATGGATAATCGGTTTGTAACTCGGAGCACGCAGAAGAAGTTACCTGGACCGCAAAGCCTGGTCTGGATCCGATCCTCAATCGTAGCAGATTACCAGCATACCAGAGCACAAAGCGGGGCTCATACTATGGCACGACCTCAGTCTCACAGACAGCAAATAGCACAGCACCGAGATCTGGGATTGCTATGTACTCACCCCAGGATCCCATCACGATATCCACCTGCTAAAGCTGCCATAGTGTGTTGAGTTGAGGCTCATGATCTCCCCGTGGCTGCATATGCAGGGTTCTCGGCTCCGGTCCGGAAGCGGTGGTCTGCAGGGACTAGCTTTCATGATGGGGCGCGCCAAGCCCGAGAGCCAAATTAGGGTCAACGATAGTTTTCCCTAAGTTAATCTTAAAATTTTGTAAGGCATCTAGTCTTCAATTCATTAACAAAGGAAAAAAAATTCAAGCCAGGTATCTCTAGAGTAGTGACGATACGTCAGCAACTAACTAAATACAAAAATAAAAGCTCCCGCCCAGAATCCCAGCCAACCAGCCAACAAAAGAAAAAATCAGAGCACAAAAAATACAAGCCCGTTATTAACTAGCTACTAGCTATCAATTAGATATCAATTCATTATCGTTACGGAGCTGACGCCTTGTTGGCCCAATACTGGTCGAGTGCGCTTTCGATCCCGTCTGCGTCTGTGTATGCATTCAGGCTTGAAAAGAACTTTAGTGCACTGTTGGCCTCGGCGACGGTGAAGCCTTTGTAGGGTTTTGCACGGAAACGGGGTTCCATGGGGTCGATGAAGCGGGTGGTTTCGGGGTAGTTGAAGTCGGAGAGGGCGGTGACGTTGAAGGCGCCCATCTATGGTGTGTTAGTTTATAGCTTGAGAGGGTGGGAGGGGAGAAGGGGGAAAGTACCATATCGTGATCTTCATGAACGAGGTTGTGGCAATGGAACATATAGACACCATCCCATGGCTATCACTAGCGTTAGCTTTTTCTCTGACAACAAAAACACTTCTATAGAAGACAACGTACAGCGTATTTTGCCAATACAGTCACCGCCTCGTTGTTCCCCAGCACAATCACATCTTTCAGCGCCGCCGCCTCATACGGCGTGACCTCTGTCCGCCCAAACGCACTGTTCTGCGTCGACTTCCGTCGGAACAGGATTTGGAAGTCGACGAGATGGATATGCACTGGATGCGACCACCCGCCGCCGCCCTGCAGCCGCCACATCTCTGTTGTTCCTCTCGGTACGTTCCTCAGTATCCCTAAATATAGCGTTAGCATATGTGCCCCCTCCCCATGAAGTAGAATTTAGTGACATACGATTATTAACATCTGAGAATGTAACAGAATTAATCGTCCATTCCCCCCTGTTCCTTCCAAAGACAAAGTTCTGATCCAGCTGCGTCTTCGGCGCCGGCAGATCCAAGTCAACAAGCTTGCCAGGCAGCGGACCGTTGCCAACCTCGGAGGTTACGGCGTTCCCGACACGGAACTGCATAACCTTGTCGTAGCCGGCATAGTTAGTGTCAACGAAGCAGTTGCTCTGCTTTAGCGTCAGGTTCTGTCCCGCGAGGTTTGCAAAGTCGATTACGATCTAGATGACCCTGTCAGTATGGTATGAAAAAACGAGTGATGTCCCATGTAGCGGCCGCGGTTGGTGGGGGCGGGATACACACCTCCCATCTCTCGGCCATAGCAACAACCAACGACTCCGTCTCCACAGGCTTCGACATAAACCCTGAATCACTCCCCACAACGTGGAACTTCTTATTCGCCCTCGTCGAGTCCACATTAAGTGTGAGGTTGAACGTCCTACTCGCCGCGGCGTTCAGCACGCGGAGTCGGTATTTCCGCGGCTCAACGACAAAGTGGGGGAGAATTTGGCCATTAACGGACGGGGGTGTCGCCATAGGTGCTGGTTCTCTCGGCGCTCTCGTTAGTTATGTTGCCCGTGGATGTGTAACGCTTGGAGTTGAGCATGAGTGGGATGTCGTAGGCTCCTCGTGGAAGGTCGAGGCTGGCCTCGAGGGCGGCATTTTCGAGGATGTAGAAGCCGGCTTGACCGGAGTATGCATTGAGTGCAGTGATACCCATTGCGTGGTCCTGGAAAAAGAGGAGGTTTTATGAGTGTATGGGGAGGGAGCATGGTGTGAGTGGAAGGACTTACATGGTACCATAAAGTCCTGGCAGACTGTGTATTGGGGTAGTAGTAATCTTTATACTGCCCTGGCTTAATTGTGTCCTCCGCCCATCCATCAAACGCTACATTACACCATACATCAGTAACTATCTCTCACACATACATACCGAATGGGAAGGAAACTTACGAGCCCGACTATAGGAGCCATGCAGATGTATAGATGAATCACGGTAGTACTCGTTCACAAAACGGACCACCGTTTCCCTCCCCTTTGGCACACGAAAGGTCGGGCCTGGGATTTGTCCGTCGTAGCCTATGAGCGTGGCGTCACCAAGATCAGGGAAGAGGTTCTTGGTAAATTCCTTGATCTTGATTTCATAGAAGTCGACCTGTACACCAGTTTGGGGGTTTGTGTAGGAGCTAGAGAGTAGTGGTGGTGGTGATGTTAGTTTTTTTGACCTTAATGTATATGGATAGAGAATAGGAGAGTAAAAGAGGTGAGGAGTACATACGTCAATGGCTGCTTAACGGGCATGATGGGAAGTGGAAACTCAAAGTCATGATTGTAGGACGGGCTCTCCCGGGGTATGATTCGGGGAACTTGAGCATTTGCAAGCAGCGGGAGAAGGGCAGCCAACGAGGCAGCAATTTTTCTCGGTGAGCAGACGACCATCTTGACTTCCCAATAGTACTGCTATCTCTGTGCAAGAACGAAACGAACGAACGAACAAAATATTGCTGCCTGTTGCTAGTATTGCTGATCTGATGAGGTGGAAAATAGAAAGGATGCAATGGGTCCCTTTATATGGCTCCACTCATGCATGCATCCACCTCGTTCCTGAATATCACTCCACGGACGGACAAGATGTACCCTTCAGGTTGGCTGGCTGGAAGGGTTAATGCCGAGTGCATGGATGGGATCGAAGGCTATGGCTGGTCGGTACTCTTCCCCCGTGCGTCATATCGTTCGAGCCAGATCTGTTATTCTTTTCGGAGGGAAATAATACGAATCCATATTGGCCCTGCGTTGTGCACTAGGGTACCGGGTGGGTGGGTGGGAGAGCTGCGGTAGTGGGGCTATCCCGCTTCTGGCCTAACCACCAAGCTTTGCCCACCCCACACTAGCAATTAGCAGCAACAAGGGAGAGAAACAGTAGCCAACTGGGGCGCGGTGGCCTAGGGCATTTCGCTTGAAGTTTAATTCCGAGGGAGTTTCTGTTCTTACCTTGGGGAGGGCGTTGCATGGGGGAAGGCAAATTGAGCAGTGTCGATGCTGAAGGCAGGAATGATCATGATCTACTAGAGCTATAGCTAGGCTGAATTGAACTATTCTACTTGAGGATATTGCTGTCATGTCAGCTGAAGCGTGGAACGTATACTAAGAAGTCTAGACGAGATGGCCCCTATGATCATTGGCTTATTTTTTCAATGTTGAAGAGAAACCCTCTCTACAGCCAATACAATACACCCATAAATCTCAACCTGCAGCAGTGAAATTGGCAGCAGATGCAAGGGCAGTGTCGTCGGTCTGGAAGTAGAACTGCACCTATCTCCCACTCACACGGTACTCCACATAAAACCATCGCCGCCACGGCCGCAGGTCAGTACCTGCGCTGACGACTAAGTGAGAAGAAAGAGGTCGTTGGTCGTCTCAATTACCGTTGCAAATCAGTCCGGATCGAGACGGGTCTCCCATCCATTGCTATTTCTGGCACCCCGCATTCGGCGATCCAGCATATTCGTGGCACAACTTTCCCATTTGGCAGACAAGTGAACCACAACGAAGCTTACCAGAACAAGGCACTGGGTTGTTCAGATTTGAGTTTTTTTTTCCCTTCGTATCTGCTTGTACCTACATACCTACATACCTTCATACATGTTCCAGGAGTACTCTAAACTTTTCTCTTCTCCAGCGCACTATATTTACTTCATTGTCTGCAGGTCTGGCCGGCGGGCTGCAGAGACGTGGATAAGCATAAACCAGCGCCTTCGCTCGCACCCGGGATTTGGTGCATCTGTACGCGGTGCGAGGGGGAAATATCCTGGCTGTTGGTGTTATGGAGGGTACTCGCTTAGTTAGTAATGGTTAGTGTTAGGCTCGTCCCCACCCGTCTACTTCCATGCTTCCAGAGGACGTACTGTGAGCAGCTTGCTGCAAGTAACGGGCTGGGTACGAGACTAGGTTTCGTATCATTGAATGATCGACGGTTTCTAGTTTTAAGCTCTGCACTTTTTCTCCGCTTAATACTCCTATCGTTGTCATATGCAGTGCTGATAGATTCGCAGGACACGAAAATACCGCGCACGCCGTCATGGGCGCATATTTGTGCATATTCCAAGCGTCGGTGAACATTACAACTACTCTACTGTCAAGTGCAGGAATAGCTGTCGTAGATCATTCGAAGCTTGGGTAGCAATAAGCTTTCTTCTCATCATGTGTCTTCGTCCCGGGCAGTTGCCTCCGTAACGAATAACTAATGAGGCCTGAGTTCCCTCTGCTTGCATTTGCATACCCGGAATAAACTCATTTATCAGCTGAAAGCATTATCGAATAGGATAGCATGGTTCGATATAATCCCGAATCTCTGTCGCAACTAAGGATTAAACCAACAGGTGATCAACTACAACGTAATAGAATCGCCACTGCAGGTTCCAGAGATCTGGTTCTCCCGTTTACTTCCCGGGTTGGCTCTTGGCATTTTATAATACGGCTTGGCTCTCTTCATTTGTAGACCGAGTACTGTCCTTTCGCATTGGAAGCCGAGGCAAACTTAAATTGCCGCTTACTTAATATTTTCACGCAGTTTAAGAGCAGTTTCCTACCAAGTTTTCCTTAATAAGCGGCAATTTAATTCTGGCACTGTGAGTACATGCCAGTATGGTTTAGACCGCCCCAAACCTATACCTACTGTAGATTGCATACCATCGCTCATGCATGCCTCTAAAGATGAGCACCAGGGAAGGGCCAGGAAGGGAACCAATGATTTATTCTCCTCCCTGGGACCGAGGTCTGGATAAGGTGCGGCGCCGCCACTGCACGTGCTGCTATCAGCAGGAAGATCTGGGCGTATCGGATCGTTTATCTGTTTCTGTCCCGTCATTGGAAGGTCGGATTTATTGGAACGTGGGGTGTTGGTGCCCGTGAGGGAGTAACGGTCTGTTACTACTACACAAGTAACTAATGTGTATATTCAAGGCATACGGGGTAGCTGTTTATGGTAAACAGGTAGACCGCATCTACTTGTGCAGAAGGTTACCGACGCCGGGGACCAAAGTATTGGGCACGAGGTACTTGATTCATGTTACCTTATCTAAACGGCTCTCGTAAAACAATCGTATGTGGTTGTAAACTGTAATCAATGCTCGGCTACAATCGATCGTGATTCCTAAGATGGAACCTCGGGCCAATGAGATCCTGTAGTATTCATCTTTGCAAGAAATGATCCCTTAATATCTAAAATCCTTTTGTGCGAAGCTCGAGTCCCGCGTTTCACGGTGGACGTTGGGCATATATCGCTTGATAGGTCTAGGTAGCGATCCGGAGATAAATATGCCGTGCCGGGTTGAGTTGTTTTCTTGGTGACATAATGAAAGCAGAAAATATTTCAGATTAACATTTCCCAAATGCTATCTTTAGCCTATCGATCTTGTAGCCCGTTGAGACCATCTGATGATAAAGCTCTAAGGTGGCCTACAAAAGGCATAACGCCATTAGTATATAGTAGTAAAACTACGAGTAGGACCAAATGCTTGAAGGTAGGCAGTCAGATCCAACCGAATCACTTTCCCTAGCCGCCCCACTAACGAGGGATACCAATTATTATTACATGTACACTTACGTAATATGGGTTCCGCAACGTCGGGTTTTACTAATACACTACCGCAAAATCTCAGGAATAACGAATCGAACTGGACTGGAATATTGGCCTTCAGATTGGTCAAATGCTTGTTGAGCCTCAATCCCACAGACCCAAAGCGTAACTTTGGTCATCTTGACCAATGGGTAAGTGGTATTCCAGCCCAGTCCGATTCATTATTCCTGAGATTCTGCGGTAGTGAAGGCATATTTTCATGCAATATTAGCAAACGACTTCTAGGAACGTCCCTCAATAAACTTAATTCACTACTTGAGTCGAGCTAACCCTGTAGTTTAAAAATGTTTCCAATATCATTATTCCCTAACCAATCTTTATCAACTTCCAAGCGATATCTAGAAGAAGCAAGGCCAATCAATGGCCAGCAGCCGTAGTAGAATACCATTATTACCATTATCTATTGGGATTACAGCCGAATCGCCCTAAAGGGTACAAAAGTGGCGCGAAGTGGTACCCTTATAAGGCGTTTACCCTTATAGATATATAGGGGTAATTTGTGTCTACGAAGGCTATTATAGCCCAAGAACCCGTACCCATACTCTATAAGGCGATTACCCTAATAAGAGGTATCCTTATAGGGCGATTCGACTGTAGTACATGTAGTCATCAGTCCCTAACCCTGTCGAATTGTAGGGATCTTTGCCAAGGCGCTTATGTGGAGAGAATATTATATTTGCCAAGAACAACCTATATTGGGATTTACATAATAATTGGACGAAATAGTAGAAGCAGGTGAGTCACTTTCATGGACTCACCAAAGTTCTACCCAATATCCAAGGTTTCTTTGTACAGTGACTCATGACTTTAAATTGCAGAGCAGAGCAGAGCAAGTGAAATGTACCAGGGCTAAGAACTTAGGCTCAATGGAGTTGAATTATGAAGCTTTGATGCTGGTAGCTATCCACGAACTTCAATCTTTCCAGAAACAGTAGCTCCGAAATCTTAAATAAAGACTCTTCGTTTAAACCATTTCACAGTAGGTACATGTAGTGGAATGAAGCA